GGGGGGAAGGAGGGCATATTATTGTTTGCCACCAGCCCACGATGCAGCCCGCACACCCGACGCACATACACACACACACGCGCACACACGCACAGTCATCCTCACCCCGTGTTTTGTCCGCGCGCCCGCCGGCCGGCCAGCCGGCATACCTGCCCGGGCAGGCCTCTGACCGGGCAAGGCCGGGAAGATGAGATCAATCTCGGCGGCCTTGCAGCAAGAGGCCCCCGGGACATTCAAGGGCCAAGCCACTGTCCCTCATCTGTGCTGGCCGCACGACAGCCAATCCCCCCCCCCCCCAACGAGCCATTCCCACACGTAGACCCCCTCCCCCTCTTCCTTCCGTCTTTCCCCACTCTCTCTCTCTCTCTCTCCCTTCCCTGCCCAACCGACTCTTCGCCTGGCCTGGTGACATCTGCTCTCCCTGCACACTCCTTCGCCCAGTGCGCCGGTGGGCTGGGCGGTGATCTTGTTGAGCAGAAGCATTTCCTTCGACTTGTCGTCCTCTCCCCCGGCCCCCTTTCTCTCCTTGCCTCGTGGTGACCATGCTTCGCGCTGCCCTTTTTGCTGCCCGGTCGACCCAAGGAAGGCCTGGGAACCTTCTGCGGCCGACTGCCCAGCATGTCATTCGGCATAGCAGCAGTCTCCGCCGCGACCAGGCCCCTTCGCCGACGATGGTTCCACTGGTTGGACTACATGCACCAACAGCGCCCGGAACCCCTGGGCACCGGAGCCATCACCTCCCCAGTTCCGATGGTCTGCTTTGGACCGATCTCCGAAAGACCCACACCCCGTCGGCCGCCTCGGGGTCGGCTCCTTGCAGTGGGGGTGGCAGTGGGCCAGACACCGGGATCACCGGGCCCCTGGTGGACGACCTGCTTTCCGTGAGTGGCACCCCTCTGTCAGACGACGGGCTGGACCTCTACTATCAGGGCCCCCCGACACCGCACTACAGCCAGATCTCCGGCGGCGGTGTTGGTGGCGGTGGCGACGCCGCCACCCAGTCCTTCGGCCTTCTGTCAAACCTGGCCGAGCGGAACCTGTCCACGGCCAACTTCTCGCCGAGTAATGACAGCCTGAATGCCGGGACGACCTCTGAACCCGAGTTCGACGTGGCATTCGATGCGGAATTCAACCAGGCCAATCGCAGCATGCCTACTTTCGCCCCGTCCTGGAAGGCGACTCTGCTGTCCACCACTGCCACCACTGCCCATCCGACGCATCCCTCGCCGCCCCGGGTTGCCGATTGGGCACACATTGACCATGCTCTCAGCAGGTATGGCCCGGGAAGGGAGATGGAGACAAGGCACATGGTGCCATCTTTTCTCTTTTCTTTTTTTTCCTTCCCTTTTGACGCCCCCCCCCCCCCCCCTGCGACTAACACATGTGCTTGAATGTGTACACGTCCTCCAGCCACTTCCAACTGTCCTCCCTGCGGCCGATGCAGCGTCAGGCCATTGAAGCCCATATTCAGGGCAAGGACAGTCTGGTTCTCCTGCCAACCGGCTCGGGCAAGTCCATCTGCTACCAGCTACCGGGCATCATTTCGCCGCACCTCTGCTTGGTCATCATGCCGCTTCTGTCACTGGCTGAAGATCAGATGGCATCCCTGCGGCAGCTTGCTCTCTTTTCCGCCTCGGCGGAGGTCCGGGCTTCGGTCGTGGATCCGGGTGGGCCGGATGCCCCAAACGGCCCGGATGCGGTCCATTTTCTGAACTCCTCAACTTCGACGGAGACCCGGAGGAGAATCTTTTCTCGTACGCATACGCCCGATCTACGATCGCCATCATCCAAGCCAGGCTGGTCCCTTGCCTTGTGTGTCCCTCCTACTCCTCCTTACCCCTCTCTCCTCCCCCCTCCCCCTCCTCCTCCACACACACACACACACACGCGTGCGCGCGCACGCGCGCGTGCCTACTTCCACCCTACCATCCACGGCCTCTTTGCCCTGCTCCCACCTGCGATAGAGCTCAGCAGGGGCAATATTCGCTTTCTGCTCACCACGCCGGAGACCCTCCAACATAATCGTGCTCTGCGAGACACCATCCTCGCCCTTTATCACCGGAATAAGCTCGGCAGGTGTGTGGCTCCCGCCTTGTTACCCTGCTATTTGTGACGTACTCTGACTCGTGCCTTCTTCCCTCTTTCTCCTGTTCTGGCTTGCTTTCCCCAGCATCATCGTCGATGAGGCCCACTGTGTTAGCCAATGGGGCCATGACTTCCGCCCGGCCTATGCCATGATTGGGCAATTCCGTCGACAGGTGCCGAAGGTGCCACTGATGGCTCTGACCGCCTCGGCCACGCCGATTGTCCAAAGTACATCCCCCCCCCCCTTCCTCCCCCCCCCCCCCCGCCCCCCCCCCTCCTCCCTCCCCTCCCCCCCCCCCCCGCCCCCCCCGCCCCCCCCCCCCCGGGGTGGGGGGGCCCGGGGGGGGGGGGCCCCTTTTTCCCCCCCGGTTTTTCCCCCCCCCCCCCCCCCGGCCCCCCGGGGGGGGGGGGCCGCCCCCCCGTTTCCCCCCCCCCTCCCCCCCCCCCCCCCCCGCCGCCCCCCTGCCCCTCCCACACACACCGAGGCGAGGCTGGCCGCATTCAGGTCCCAGGGGCGGGGGCGCATGTGCGTCCCCCTGCGTGCAAGGGCCCGCGTGCGCGGCACCCGGGCCCGGCGGTTCGCGCTTCCGCGAGGGCGCACGGCAGCTCCCCATGGTGTGTCGCCCCCTGAGGAGAAGGGTACACCCGTGTGGTGTGGCGCCGGCCCCGCGCGGGGCCAGGGCGAAGGAGTGACCTTGGGTCTCGGGGGGTGCCCCCCCCCCCCCCCCCGCCCCCATCCCCGGCCTTTGTCGGTGGCGAGTACACCCGCGCGTGCTGGTGCCACGGAGGAGGGGTGTGTGTGTTTGTGGGATACTCAAAGCTAAGTGGTGGCGAATCTCTCCGGGGCGGAGACTTCTCTCTCTCTGCTTCTGGTGATTTTTTCTCATTTCCCCAAGAGCACTAACAAAGATGTCCGACGCTCCGTTCGTCAAGGTCCGTTTGCCCGTGTCTCCGCCTTGCCTTCCCCCCCCTCCTTCCCTGCTTTTCCTCGCGCGCCGCCTTCTGCCCTCTGCGCCTGCCCCCTCCCCCCCTCCTGTTCCCCCCCCCTGCTCCCCCTCCTTCCTCTTCTCCTTGTCTGCTCTTCCTCCCCCCCTTTGGCGTGCGAGGCGTCCCGGTGGGCGCGCGCGTGACACTCCCTCTCGGGCGCGGTGGCGCCGGCTTCCGGACCGCGTGCTTTCCCTCCTTGGCTCTGTGCATTTGCGCCTGCTCGCACTTGCTCCCGTGCCCGATGTTGTGCCCGCGCGCCTGCGCCGCCCCCCATTTTCCTTGCTCCTTTGTGTCACTGTCAGCGCGCATCCATGCGTGTATGTGTGTCCGTGTGTCCTTGCGCACTCCTCCCTCCCCCTGTGGATTCTCCTTTCCCCTTCTCTCTCCCTCTCTCTCGTTGGACCGGTCGACCTCTTCCCCGCGCTGGGGAAACCCTTCGCGTTGGAATGACACGCGTCCATCTGTACTTCGTTTGAGTAGGCCCCGGAAGGAGGAGCGGGTCGGGTGTGCACATACACACACACACTCATATGCGCGCATGTCTGCGTGTCTGCCAAGACGCATCTCTTCCTATTCCCCCCTCTCCCCTCCTCTCTTGTGTTCAGTCCTGTCGCGATTTGAGGTGTCCCATGCCGGTCAGGCTTCCCTCCGTCCCGTTGGTCGCGCCAAATCAAGTCGTCTGCATGCACACTGTGAAGAAGGGCCTGTCCTGTGTTTCGGCACATTTCGGCCTCGCATCCCTGTTTCCCCTCTCCGTCATTTGATGCTGTCTTTCAGTATCTGGCGCGCTCTGCGCTGGTCCTTTCATGGGGGAAACAGGATGTGCATTCTCACTTGCTGCATGCTGTCCTTGATTTTGCCTCGTGTGCGACCTGGTTCGCGAGGGGCGTCCGACTGGCTGGGTTTTCCTGTCACGCAGGCGTACACACATATCCCCCTCGCCATCGTGGCGAAGCGCGCCCTTCCCCCACTCTCTCCCTTCCCTGGTCGTCGCCATCTTGCTGACTTTCCCCCTCCCCTCCTCCCTTCCATGCCCCCTCTTCCACACAGGTTGCGACCATCGACGCTAAGGGCCACCTCCTTGGCCGTCTTGGTTCGGTCATCGCTAAGCAGCTCCTCCAGGGTCAGAAGATCGTGGTCGTCCGCTGCGAGGAGGCCGTTGTCACTGGCTCTCTCCCCCGCAACCGTCTCAAGTACGCCCGCTACCTGGACAAGCGCATGCAGACCAACCCCATCCGTGGTCACATCCACTACCGCTCTCCTTCCAAGATGCTCGTGAAGGTCATCCGCGGTATGCTTCCCCACAAGACCCCCCGTGGTGCTGTACGTCTTCCCTCTCCTTGCTTGCATTTTCTGGTGTCCCTCTCCCTCTCCCTCTCCGGGTCCGTCTTGCGTTCCTTCCTCTGACGCATTCCCTCCGTCTCCCTTTGTCTCCCTCTCCGTCCCTCGCACGCAGGCTGCCCTTGACCGCCTGATGGTCTTCGAGGGTATCCCCCCCGCCTACGACCGCACCAAGCGCGTTGTTGTCCCCGACGCCCTCGCCAAGCTCCGCCTGCGCCCGGACCGCAAGACCACCAACCTCGGTGAGCTCGCCTCCAAGGTGTGTTCATCTCCTCCCTCGCTTTCTTTTCGTCTCCCTCCCCGCCGTCGGTCGTGTGTGCACCACCGCACCCCGGCCGCGGCGGCCCCCTCCCCCCTTCCTCAGTTGCTGACCCCGCCTCTCCCTCTCTCCTCCTCTCGCTGTGTTTGCTTCCCCTCTCCTCTTCTTCCTTGTGCCCCTGGTACCTCTGCCGCAGGTCGGCTGGAAGTACGGTGCCGTCGTCTCCGTCCTCGAGGAGAAGCGCAAGGCCCGCTCTGAGGCTTACTTCAAGGCCAAGCAGTCCATCATCGCCGCCAAGGCCAAGGCCGTTGCCGCCAACGCCGACGCCATCAAGCAGCACACCGAGTACCTCGCCTCTGTTGGCTACTAAATACTCCGGCGTCCCCTGCGCTCGCTCGCTCGCGCCCTGGGCAGTGTGTTCTTGGCATCAAGCCTCTTTCCACCTCCCTGTTTTGAACTTGTGTCAGCCCACTCCCCGCGTGTGCTTTCTCCCCCCAAGAAATATACGCCCGGCTAAGGAAATACAGTGTCCCGCGCGCGACTCCTCTCCCCCCCCCACCAATTGTGCCCGTTGTGTTTCTCTTTTTTTCCCTCGTCTCTCCCTCCTGTTCCTCGGCGGCCACATCTTCGTCCCTCTTCCACTTGCTCTCGTTTGGCTCTCTCTGTGTGGCGGCCTTGAGGGGAGAGAGACCAGCGAGCGCCGCGGGAGAGAGAGAGAGGGAGAGGGAGAGAAGGCCCTCTCTTCTCTCGTTTTTGGTCGTCTTCGCCGGCTGTTGCTCGGTCCTCGCTCCCGGGGAGAGGGCCGCGGGGCAGGGAAAGGGCCCACATGCGTGTGGGGCCCCTGCGCGCGCCCTGTGCCTGGTTTCTCCCTGCGTACGTGTGTGGGGGGCCGGGGAGGGGCGGGGGCAGCGACAGGTGCAGACGGGCGAGGGAGGGGCAGGCGCAGGCGGGCGGGAGGGGGAGCTGCTCGTGTTCATCTCCCACGAGCCAGTCTATATTGGGGGGGGTCCCCCATTCGGCCCGGTTACCCCGCCGGGCCCGTCCCCGCGCCGAGGTTTTCCCCTCCCGGCTGGAGGCGACCGGGGCCGGAGTCGTTTGACCCTCGTGTAGGGTGGTTTCCATTTCCAGAGGCAGCTCCGACTGGAGCGGCCGCCGCCCCCCCCCCCCACCTCTCCCAGTTCGGTACCGGGGCGTAGCACGCCCTTCCTCCATCGGCGGGTTCCCCTCTCGCGGTTTACCATCCTCTTGGCGGGCATTGTGCCGGGGACCGAGCCGGTCCCAGAGCCATGTGCTGTGCCCGAGGGTAGGCGCCACATGGCTCGGCACTCGGGAGGTGGCGTCCCCGTCATTCTGCTGCAGCCGGGAGCTCCGCCGACAGTGTAGGACCACAGCGAGGGGAGAGGCAGCCTCCGGAAGGGAAGGGCTTTTTCCGGCTGTGTTGGCCAGACCCTCCGAAGGACTCTCCCCGTCTTCCGCCAGGAGAGAGAAAGAGAGAGGGAGAGAAAGACATTGAGAAAGCAAATGAGAGAAGGGGAGAGCACCGCGTCCGCCAGAGGCCCGGTCCCTGCCGAGGCTTTGGCGTGCACTCGCGGAACATCCCGCCGCTTGGGGCGGGGACGTTTTTTGCTGGCCAACCGCGCGGGGGCGCGGAATTCCAGATCACACGACCTCCCCGTAATATGAATGACATTCCGGTAATTAACCGCCACCGTGATCCCAAGTCCACGGGTCGATTATTAAATTTCACACCCGACTCGCTGGCTCTCGCCTTTGCAGGTGCTGGGGGGGGGGGAGGGGAGGGGGTGGCCGCGGCAACCAGCACAACACGGCCCGGGGCCGAGCCCGTCGAAGGGGATCGAGGAAACAACAGGCTCCATGTATCCAGATGCTCCGTGGTTTTCCTTCCTGCCCCCGGAACTCCGGTCGGGAATGTGCCACCGTCTCCCTCGGGCCAGATCGGCAGCGGCCTGCCATGGACCGTGCTGTATGTTCTCCTCGCGGTGGTGGGCGGACGGAGGGCGGGGGGGGGGGCGTGCGCCTGGCGCAGCCCGGGGTGGCCTGAGTCGGAAGCATGCCCGTCGATGTCTTGCGGACTTTGGGCGGGGAATAGCACACAACGAAAGCCAGGCGGCCGGGTCATTCTTCACGTGAATAGCACCGGGTAAGCTCCGGCCGGGAGGGGTCGTCAGCGACGCCCGTGCTGCGCCCTTCCTTCGCGCTTTTCGTGTCGCCCGGAGGGCGGGGCGACGCGAGCATGTCGCCCTCGCCACCCCCTGGGGGGGAGGGGGGGTGGGGGGGGGCGAAGGAGGAGATGCTCGACATACCACACATCATCCACGATGCAGTTGGCGCCTGGCCGCATGGGTGTTCCCCTGACCGGGAGCCGGGGGCTCTGGGATTCCCCGTTCGCAGATGCACTGGCACACGAGTATATGCTGCTTCCGGGCCACCAGCCGGGAGGCGACCCACGGCCCGTCGGTTAAATGTACCAAATATTGCTGGCAAGACTCCCCAGGGGGGCGTCATCGCCGGGATGCCCGCCTTCGTGTGAAGCCCATCCCCGACTGGTCGCCCCTCGGGGGGGGGGGGGAGCCTCACATCAGCCACTCAGCGAGAGCTTAACAAGTGGCCGGGAGGGTAGGGCACGAAAGTGCAGCGACACCGAGGCCAGCCCTGGCGGATGCGAGGTGGATGCCGTCCCCCGCCCTCCATTCCTCTGATATGTTCATATTCGCGCCCTCTCGCCCAGCGTCATCCTGCGTCTGGTCGCTCGCGCACTCGGCTCGGCGGGTTGGGGGGGGGGGGGGGCCGGGGAGGGGTTACCGTTTTCTGCGCATTCGCCGAGGGAGTCTTGCTCCGCCTCACCGGCATGCGGCCTGCGCATGCCCTGGGCCGCGGCATGCCCGGATTCAGCTGCGTCCCGGTCCTGGCCGATTGCTCCGGCTGACCGCCGCGCGGGGACAAGGCAACCCACCGGGGGGGGAGGGGGAGGGGGGGGGGGGGCCAATGAGGCGACCGAGAGTGCCGTAGCCCTCCGGAGCAGCGTCCAACCCTCTCGCGACCGCCTCCCGAACGAGGACCCACCTGTCTACGGCTGCTCAGCCGGGGGATCGGCCCGACGCGCCTGACGTACCCACTCGTTTTTCACGCCACTGCGGGGCTCCGTCTCCGGGTCCCCACCGCAGGTGAGAGGGACAGGCCTGCACCCGGAGCAGGTCTTCCGCCCCCCTCCCCCCCCCCCACTCCAAGGTTTCGCTCCTCGTCCTGGTCCCGGGCCCGGGAGGGCTTCGGGGCTGCCCGTCTCTTCTCGAGAGATGGCGCCCTGCGATCCGGCGGGCTTCCCCGGGGCGGCAAAGCTGGATGCACGCCTCTGCGCTCGCCCCCTCCCCCCTTCCCTTCCTCCACCTTTCGCGCAGCCTCCTCCTCCCACCCATCGCCGCTCCCTCTCCCTTCCCCCCCCAACCACCCATCCCCACCCCAGCTCGTCCCGGCCCCCTCCAAAGCCATGCCACTGGCCGCGATCCTCTTCGCCTTTGAGCTGATCCTGTATGCGGTGACCGCGGCGCTGGTCATCGCATTGACCATCATCTCGGCTGTCGGGCTACTGGCCTCGCTTCTGATCAAGCCGCCGCACTATGCCCATCGGAAACCCCACCAGGGCCTTGCCCCCAAAGGCCAGCCTCCCTTCGATGAGGATGCATGGCTCCCATACGAGGGCACCCCCAAGTCGGACTTTGGGCTGGACTTTGTGGAGGTGGAATTCCCGGCCACGCCCCTGGTGCCGGAGTCCCGCCAGGGCCCGGTGCGCATCGGCAACGACATTTTCCCCGTCATCGAGCGATACGACGCGTCCGGCTCTCCAGTCCAGACCAATCAGGCGTCATTTACCCTGGGCAAGACCCCGGTGTCCAAGATGCCTGGGCGCCGGGTGCGCACCGAGGTTGTGCCGACCCTGCGCGGCTGGCTCATCAAGGGCCGCCAGGGCGTCTGGTGCGTGTCCCGCGCTTCTGTCCATCCTCCCTCCCTCCCTCCCCCCTCTCTCTTCCTCTCTCTTCCTCTCTCTTCCTCTTCATCCCTTTCGTCGATAGTGCGTCTGACATGCCATACTCGGCACATTTCAATGGACCTCGATACCAGGCCCGACCAGCGTGGTGTGGTTTGCGTGCACGGTGGCGGCCGCGACCGCCGAGAGTTCCACCGTATGCTGCCCTTCCTGCATGAGGCCGGCTATTCGGTCTTGTTGTTTGATCTGCGCGAGCATGGCATCAGTGACGGCACCGGGCGCGGCCTCGACTGGGGCCGAGAGATGGTCTTCGATGTGGATGGCGCCGTCAATTTTGTCAAGAGCCCGCTTGTCGGGTGGGACTACGTGGCCCTGGCTGGGACCAGCAACGGCGCTGCCCTGGCTGGCCTGGCCTGCGGGCTTGAAGATGGCGCCATGTGGCGGTGTGTACCGATCTTCGCTCACCTGCCCTTTCCCCCCTTTCCTGCTTTGTTGTGCTGACACCTGACGTTGGCATTTACGGTGCCTCGCTTTCTCTCCTCCTTTTCCTCCCCCCCCCCCCCCTCTGCTCCCTTCCCCTTTCAGTGCGGTCGCTCGGCCTCGGCCACTGATCGATGCGCTGATCTTGGACTCGACGTACACTCGGCCGCGTGATGGCATGCGTGCGATCATGGAGACCGCCCTCGGGGAGTTCCCCTTCCCCTGGATCATGTCCAAGATCACCCCCTGGCTGATTCCGCTCGTGGTGGCCACCTGCCGGTCGCGCCTGCGCCTGGGCCAGCTTCATCGTACGCATGGCTACATGTTCTTCCGGATCTCCCTCCTCATTCAGCCCCGATCGCTTACTCCTCCTTGTCCTGCTCCCACAACGGCTGCCACCACCGCCGTCGCCGCCGTCATCACGGCCACGGCTGCTGCTGTTGCCGCCCTCCTTCCCCTCCCTCTGTGGCCCCAGGCAAGCTGCGCAAGCTTACCTCTGTGGGTTTGGTCGACGTTCTCCCTTACACCCGGCCCCGGCCGACACTCATCATCCACGGCACCGCCGATCGGCGTTTCCCGGTCCTGCATGCGCATGACATCTTCAACGCGATCCCGGCCAACCACCACCGCAAGAGCCTGCTCATCATTGAGGGCGGCCGCCATGCGGAGACCTTCAACGTCGATAGCGCATCCTACCAGCGCAAGTTCCTTCAGACTCTGGCGCTGATGGGCGGCACCAAGAGCCGGTGAGAAGTTCATGCCCACAAGCCTGCATGCGGCCACGTACCCGCCCCCGCCTGTCACACGTGTCCCCCTCCCCCTTCCTTGAGTCTCTCCCCCCCCCCCCCTCTCTCTCTCTCTCCCTCCTCCTGGCAGCTATCTTGCACTTAGCCATAGCGCCGAGGGGTGCCCTTGTTCCTTGCCTTTCCTCCTCTCTCTCTCTCTCTCTCATGCTTGTGCGTGTTGTTTTCTTCCCAGCGCATTTGGCAGTCCCAGCGAACGGCATGCCCTTCAAAATAGAGTATCTTCCCCTCCCCTCGGATACGCGCACGACACGATCTGCAATAACAGTACGATAGCGGATGGCGAGCAGTACATTGGCACATGGCCGGGACCGGAACCTAAATACAGGAGAAAGCAACCCTCCCGGACAGATCTACCGAAGAGGTGGCTCCTGCTGCCTGGAGGAGGGAAAGGGCTGACGGGGGACGGCGGGAGGAGAGATGCCCATGATTCCCCCCACTCGAACAGGGCTCCTTGGCGGGAAGGGAGTGGGCGGGACGAGGGGGGGGGGGGACAGAGAGGGCGAGAGAGAGAGAGAGAGAGAGAGAGAGAGAGAGAGAGAGAGAGAGAGAGAGAGAGAGCGGGCTCTTGCCCCGCCGCCTGACAATGGACTGGATGACCCGACCCCGGCTGGCGGGGAAGCCAGGTGCGTGTCCCCCCCCTCGCCGCCCCGCCCCCGGAATAAGGCCGCCTTGGATGCGGGGGCGGTTGATTGGGGCTACTTTTCCCCCAGGGGGGGCTTTTTCATCAGGTGCGTTGATTTCCTCGCCTCGGGAATTGGAGATAACCAAGCATTCGGCTCAGAGTCCTCTCCCCCCCCCCCCCTCACCCTGTTCCCTGTTGCTTTTGCCACTGTAAGCCCATCGCTCCTCCCTCCTCGCCCCCCTTCCCCCCATCTTTTCCTTTCTGTCCTTCTCCCCCTTCTGTTCCGCCTTCGGCCCGCCTTCTCTCTATTTCTCCGCCCTCCAAATCCCCCTTCCCCCCCTGCCATACCGGGGGCGTCCCTGGTTGCCATTCCTTGCTCGTGAGGTCCCTTCCTCCTTCCCCATCTTAACCTCTCGTCACCGCTGTCTCCCTCGTTGCTGCCCTTGGCGCCATTGCGCAGATGCTCGCCATCTCTCGTTCCCTGACCCGCCTGGCCCCGGCTATGGGCGTTGTCCGCCGCGGTCTTGCCACCAACGCCGTTGCCACGGTCACCCCCACCCCGACCGAGGTCACTGGCACTGACACCTGGAGCCCGAACCAGGTATGTGCCCCCTCAACACTCCGGCGCCTTCCTCTCTCTCTCGGAGCCGCCCCCACCCCCCCCTTTTTTTTTTCCAGATCCGCTTCGAAGTGTCTAATTCCCCTCCCTCCCCCTGCTCCCTCTTCCAAACACACAGGCTAGCCGTGTGGGCTCCATGACTGGTCCTCGTTTCCTTGATGTCGACCTCAGCCTCCAGGTTCGCCTCTCAATGCACTTGCGCCCTTGCCACCACCACGTTTGGGACCTTCTTGTTTGACACCCCAAAATCCGAACTCCCTCCCTCCCTCGGCGACACCCGCCTTCTTTGCATTTCCATGCATTTGTAGCCGATGCCCAAGCCCGCCATCGACCTGATTGCCGAGCAGCCGGTCATCGAGGTTGCTGGTCGCGTCGCCTCCTGCGACGGCGGCCACCCTGCCCTTGGCCACCCCACCGTCTACATCAACCTTGACGACCCCTCGGCTCCGCACTCCTGCGGCTACTGTGGCCTCCGCTTCCGCCAGGCCAAGTAGATTCCCCACTCCCGGGAGCGTTGAGCGCACCATTGCCCCTCCCTCCCCCCTCTCTCAGGTGCTTTGCTGTGCCTTCCCCCCCCCCCCCCCTGAGAGGGGTCCCTCCCGACTCTCCCCCTCCCTTCCTGGTTACCGCTCCGCCCCCTCCGCCTCTTCCCCCTCACAGGCCGAAGCACCACATGTTCCTTTGTTGATTGCGTTCTCGCGCCGCTACACTTGCCTCGAAACAAGTGCAGATCCCTCCCCTTCCCTCTTCCTCCCCCTTGTAAATATGATTTCAGTTCACACCCTGTCGGCTGGCGGTGTGCGCCCGTACGCGCTCGCCACGTCCGTGTAGGAACAATAAAGAAAGACGCACCGTGTCCACGGGAGATGGCTTTCATGTGGTCGTGAACTCGACCCCCCCCCCCCCCCTGCGGCTCAGGGACGGAGGGCGGGGCCGGCAGGCCAGAGGGATACCTTTTTTTTCTCACTTTGGAGGTGGTTTGTATATTGGCCCCGAGAGAGGGATGACGGGGGACACGTGCAGTATTTCGAAGTGAACTTGATGCAGCTCTTCTCACGCAAGAGGGTCTTTTGCCGCAGTGTGCGGCCGAAGAAAGGGAGGATGGACATCATTGGGCGGCGGCATTCTACCTGAGGGCGGAACATCTTCCTTCTTTCGCTCGCTCGCTCTCTATCTCTTCCGGTGTCTCTGCTTCGCTTTCCGCGGCTTCTTCCTTCGCGCACTGTATCCCGCCATGTTTGACATGCTTTCGCGGTCCTTCTCTTGAAAGGAGGGATATGCGGGGGAGGGGAGATGGGCGCGTGGCACCATTCACTGAGGACCTGCCTCTCGTGCCGGGGGTGCTTGTGCCTCCGCCAAAGGAAGGAAGACAATGGTGTGGAGGAGGCAAGAGAGGGAGAAGAGAGAGAGAGAGGGGAGGGGAGGGGGGGGGGGGGGGGGGGCAGCGAAATGCGGTCATCCACCGAGGCACCGTGTGCCCGGAGGAGCGACGGGGAAGAGAGGCCAGTAGGCCTCCAACAACAGAGACTGGCCACACAGCGAGCTGGATTGTCCCATTTACACCTGGGAGGCGGCGGCGGACTTGGCAGCCGAAGCGATGGCAGCCTGGCCAGCCTCAGACTCGACCACCTCGCGACCAGCACGAGCCATGGTGACGCCCTTCCGGCGATAGTGCAGGATGACCTGGAGGCGAGAAGTAAGAGGTGGAGGCGGGGTCAGCAGGGTGGAGGACACAGGCCTTGTAGGGCAAAATGAGAATGGCAGGAAGAGATGGGCGATGAGCATGTCCCTCCACATGTCGACAAACGCACGTCCTTGATCTGCCAGACAAGGAAGAGGCAGAGCAAAACCCAGAAGCCAGCGGCGATCAGCATGATGATAGAAGCGACGAGGTTCTTGCTCAGGACGCCGAGAGCATTAATAAAGCCACTGCATATGTGTGTGTGTGTGTGTGTGTCAGTAGAGGCGGGCGCGGGAGAATATTTGGGGGCTTGTTTCATGCACCCGGGGTGGTGGTAGTGGTGGGGATGGTAAACACGCACGATGAGCCGGTGTTCGGAATGCCAATGGCAAGAATGATGGCCGTCAAGATGTGGAAGGAGTAGGTGAAGATGAAGACGAAGTAGAGGATTGACTTGTTCTTGCTGCGATTGCCGGCCGAAAGAGGCCATAGATCCACGTGGGGAGGAAGGAGGGTCAGAAATGTGCCTCGCATCGCCGATTGTTTAGGGGATATCCTCGGGGGCTTTTTTTTTTGGCCTTCAACACGCACCGGACGGCCTTGTAGAAGGGGCGATACCAAAAGACGAAGGAGACAACCGGCAGAATGATACAAAGAACGAGAGAGATACCGAAATCAACGCCACTGCGAGGGGGGGGGGGGGAAGGAGGACGAGGTTAGAGCGGGCCGAGTGGCGGTTGGAAAAGAAAGGGAAACGGCAGGACGAGCGTCCGAAGGTCATACCCGCCGGAGTTGGAAGCCAGGCGGGCAAGACAGCCGACAACATTCAGCAGGAGAACCGCGCAGGTTACTGTCCCCGCCCATGTTATGGTAAAATCGGCACACACGGAGACACACGCAGGCGCGCGGACGTGCGCGTGCAGGTGGATGTACACATGGATGCACAGCGATGGCCATACGGAAGTCAGCAAGTGGCAAAGAGGGCAAGGTATGGCCGAAGCAGACAAGGATAGCCTCACAGTCGATGGGGTAAGCACATACGCATCCAAGAAAAATAGACCCGCTTAACCAGGGTTCGGCCATCCTCCGGGATGTCAACCTGAATGTTGTGGTAGATGAGCGGCTTGAGGGGCCGAGGGGGCCAGTTGGGCTGGCGGTTGAGCTTTGGAGCGACCACCTGCTCAGCCTCGCCAAGCTGTGTGACAGATGCCCGCACGCGTGAGCGTGTGTGTGTGTGTGTGTGTGTGTGTGTGTGCCGGAGAGAGGGAGAGAGCGTGCGCGTGCGAAGAAAAGCGACGCAGGTCCAGCCGAGTTAGGGGGTGGAGAGGGGGGACAAGGAGGGATGGCAAAAGACGGCAATGGATGCGTGAATGTGCATGCGCCAAGGATGGAGCGGACAGGGAACTTACCTTGAGTGAGCGGTACTCGAGCTGATTCTCGCGACGCTGGAGATCGCGCTCGCGCTCCTCAAGGCGGCGCTCACGTTCTTCAAGGCTGCCCATGGCCTACATAGGAGGAGGAGAGAGGGGGAGAAAGGGGAGGAAGGAGAGTGCTGTTAGAGGGTCCATCGGCATGGGGAGAGATTGAGGCATGCGTGGGGAATATGCAAACGCACCATGGAGTTGCCCCCGCCATAAGCGGAGGAGTCATTGTAATCGCTGTATTGCTGTGTCCATGAGTTGCCATTTTGAACGGCAGTGTGTATGTACGTGGTTGCGAGCGTAGGTCAGTGCCGGAATGGCCGGGAGGAGGGTGGGTTTTGTCGCTCGAACAGGCAGATGCCGGTGCCTTGTATTATGGGGGGGGGGGGGATGGGACGCGATCCGTGTGGCGGCACAAGTGTCATCTTGATTGGGCCGTACCTCTCCAGAGTCGCCATAGGCGGAGACATCGCGGAAGGGGTTTGACATGGTTTTCGGGGTGGGGGGAGGGAGCGAGGGGAAGGGAGGGAGTACTGTCCGGGTGAAAGCGGTCAGCAGGCGATCCTACCGTATGAGCTGAAGAAAGGGGGGGGGGAGGGCAGAGGGCACACACGATTTCCGGGAGAGAGGGGACGCGCTGACTTCGTGAAATGGAGCAAAAGGCAGGGAGAGGGAGGAGACAGGAGGGAGGTGGAAGGCGCAGGATGGAGATCAGCACCAGAGGCCGTGAGGTGGTGCCCTGGCCGAAGAACGGGCCCCTCAGGCCGCATCTCGATGGTGTGGCCTCGAATGGTCACCAGGCCATGTTGTTGGGGATGGAAGATCGGGCACTTCCGGCGCCCCCTCGTATTCCCGTGCCCCCCCCGCCCTGCCAGCCACCGCTCCTGGCCGCCGGCCGACCCCGCCCCACTGGCTCCAGACCGCCCCATGCCCGAGTCTTGAAGTCGTGGAACACTGCCTGCAGGGGATCCTGGGACAAGTGGGACCGCGGACCAGCTGGTTAAACCAATTCAGGGGGAAGGCAAGCGGGGGCACTGCGCGGAAAATGGACTCTAGGCTCGGG